TGGTGTTTGGTTTTTTTTTTTTTTTAAACTAAAATTATGGGACATATTTTGATGAATGTTGTCATATCTTGGAAGTCATTTCCCTGTAGCCAGAAACCTTTTCATGCAAAGCAGGTTGCTATGTAGCGTTGTTAGTCAGTGTTTCATTATGGGTATCAGAGCATGGCCTGAAGATGTTTACCCCATCTGTTAGAATAAAAACGATCACGTGTGATTTTTGGTATGGAAGATACTTTTAATCTTTCTGTTGAGCAAAAGTAAAATAAATGTGTTAGAATGTTCAAATGAAAAAAAATTGAAAGAATGTGAGCACAGGTGTGGATATAGCAAGATCAATTGGACTTGCTCCCTTAAAGACAGAAATTCATGTTCATTTATTAATTGGAAATATAGATTTATTTTCCAGTTTAGGTATGGCCTCAAAAACACTGGGAGTAGAAATTTCAAAATAATGGCTTAAAATATATACTTAATGAATTGCAAATGATTTTATGTTTTAATTTTGATTATGTACTCTCTTACGTCTAATTTACGTAAGAGAGTTCCAAAGACAATTTAAACTTTGCTTGGAAATGATCACTCCTAATAGCTGAAGTCTGTAGTTGGATATTTTAATTCAGTTGTCTGAAAAAACTTTAGCAGCTTTAAGTACTTTACATTAGAAATGAGTTAGAAAATGTAATATATTATTGTGTGCATATTGCTCATATATAAAAATAGAATTTATTACCTAAGTTCAATCAGTGTGAAAATATATTTGAAATAGAGCATTACAGTAGGCATCATTATGAACTCCTCAGTGTCATGTTGATGGCTATACAACATACTGTGACAGTTCAGAATTAAACCCATAGTGACTTTTGCAACCAGCTGCAACAAATAAACATATTTTACTGCATACTATCATATCATATTTACAGCACAGCAGACTGGCTGTCATCCGAGAAGCTTGAATGAGAACTTTTTGGAGAAATGGTGTTACTGCTAATGTGAGAATTGTCTCAGCAGTTTGGCCATAAACTTGTGTTCTTTCATCTGATTGCTTGATACAGATTTTAACTGTATTATACATATAAATCAGTTATGAAGCAGTGGCTGAAGTGGGGACTGCCAGTTTTTTGGACCACTGTTTTACCATCTTTCAAATGAACCAACACTAGCTGTAATCAGGACCTTGCTCTTGCCCATGACTTCTTGAAAATCACTTGGCAGTGAATTGCAGTGATGTGCCTGCTGATACTTGCTGGTGGGTTTGGATGTATACCAAGATTTTTGGGGAGGCTGTTACTGTTTCTGCCTACTGGGTGCTTGGACTCAGTTGTACTGCTGGTGTTGATGGGCTTCTTGTGCTGTTGGCTGAAGATCTGCATGTGCTGTAGGTGGTGTGAATTGGTGTGTGCCTGGAGCTTTCTTGATGTCATCTGGCACTTGCTTTTGCAAGGCAGCACATCTGCACATTGAGGCAGCAGGAGGCTGTGGAGGCCAGACATGTGTGTTGTCTTCATGCTGTGGTTCCCTTGTGGCTATGGAGCAGGTGAGCAAGTGGATTGATGGATGGGAGCTAGTATTTGATAACCTTTTGTCACTAAAATAAACATCAGTCATTATGCAGTCTGGTGTTGCAGAGGCAGTTTTTATCCCTCAGGGTGTTGCTGCCCTGAGGCTCACTTCTGCTGAGCAGAGGGGATCCAACTTTTTCCCCATCATTTCCTTCTGTTAGTGAAGAGCTACCAAGCACTTGCTGGCTTATGTGCTGTGAAATATGCCTTTTTTAATGAACTTATTTCTGATTGCTATTTTGAGTTACCAGTTTGCTCTTTCACAGACCTCTTTTTTTCAAGAGGAGCCTCTTGAGTATTTGCCTTCACTTTCTGCCCCATGCCTTTCTGCCACCCCAGCTGGACACTGTTACTGACTTTAATGCCTGTGAATGCACTCTGGCTTTCAAGTCATTCAGAGTAATAATTCACTTTGGATTTTCTTGAAAATATGGTGCCCAAAGGTGCCTCACTAGGAATTTGATTGGCAGGAGTGTGTTGCACAGGCAATCTGAGTGTAACGTCTGTTTAGCAGCAAGGTAAGGCACTTTTTATACTTTTACTTTTTTCAGAGCCATACTGACCTAGCTCTTGTGCATTTTAAGAGTAGCAGAAGTCAGTAACACGTGATGCAGTTAATGGTGGTGAAAACATGCCAGGCACAGGGTAGGTGAGTGGTTGAGCGGTAGCCTGGCTTTCACAGGCTTTATAGGTGGAATGTTCTTGCATGTAATTTGCATCAGCAAGAAACAATAGTAATTGTTAGTTATTCGTACTGAATGAGAATAGCCAGGGAGGATCTAAATGACTAAAACCTTTCTGAATGATGCAAAAGGCCTTTCATAGAGAGTTTGTTCTTACGAACTGAAATGGTGTTCATGTAGTTATATTATTCGTGAAGGTTGTGTTTCCTAAGTGAATGAAGCAGTCCTGTTCTTCCAGCTGCTGTTCATAAATGAAGAGGGAGTCACTTTTTCTGATGCCATCATTGAGCATTTCTGTAGAAGTCACACGGCCATGTGTTGACCTCAGCTTGGTGATGTATCTGCCTAGATTTTCGTTTGATTTTATGTGGGCAAAAATACATATCTAGGTAGAGAAAGCTCAATTTAGGCAGACCGAACAGAAATGCAAGTTCTTGTCCTTCCTGATTTGCCTTTGCATGCAAGTCCTTTTCTTCTAGCAAACTGAATGATTCTCTTAGTGACAGGACTCTGCTCAGTACTTTTGGTCTTCAGGAAGTCCTTTCTGTCCCCTCTGCCTTTTACCTGTTTGCTCTGTGATGTCCCTGTTGTCTGTGAGTAACCTGCATGCTTCAGTATGCTGACAGATCTTACCTCTGCTGAAAGAGCAGTTTAGCCTTCCTCAAAATCCACCACCTCTCACTGCTGTGTACAATCTATTGCCTCATGCTGACAGCTGAAAGAAAACTGGTGCAGCCTGAGAGTGCCTAATGGACGGCAAGGAGCAGGCAGTCCACCAGTCTGGTATGTGAGGAAGAATATTATTTAGAAAGTGGTTGTTTTTCTAAAAATGATGGTACTGCTCTTCTAGCAGGACCATCTGGCTCTTACTGAAAGTTTCTGAGCAGTGTTTTGATGGACTTCTCACTTCTGAACAACGCTGTTGTAAAATGAAGTAACCAAATTGGGATATATCATAAATATATCTTAAATATTTTACTATAAACAGAGTGGATGTGTGAGCTAATGCTTGGATGTGTGAGCTAATGCTTTTCTGTGTGTATCAACAGGTCTTTCAGGGAGATGTGGAGGGTTAAAAATGTTTTGTATTGCCTTTTGACAAGAAGAAAGTAGGCTGGCTGCTTGTAGTCTGCTTTACCTCTCTAGTGTTTTTGACTGCTTTTGCGGTATGTTTGTTTGCCTGATGCTTTCTTAGGCGATAGGTGGGAGGAGTTTATTTAGGAGGAGATTCCAGTCATCTTGTTTTCCTTGTTCCTGCAGCTTCCTGCAAATAAGACAATAGAAAATGTTCTTTACTGTTACTGTTTCACCAGCCAGAACAGATCCCACAGAGTATAAAGAACAGGAGTGAATATATTAGACATGTAGCATGCACTGGTTTCCAGGAGCATGCTTGCAGCATGCAAAGCACCCAGCTCTTGCAGGCAGCACTCAAAACCAGGGCAGTGCCTGTACTTTGTGCATAGATCTGAAAAGCAGGAAGAAGCTCTGGGGTAGCTGCTGGGACTTCTGTCAAATCTTAAAGGCAGAAGTAGTCTGCTGTGGGCATGCTGCAGGCTAAGGAGCCAGTAAGGACACAGAGTGACTTTTCCTGTTAGGTTTGAGCCACTTAACTTGTTCTTCAAAACACCTTCAGGGAAATATGAGGGCATGTGAGAAGCTAGAAGTTGAGGACAACAGGGGAGATTAGCACTTCATACTGGTTTAAGAAACTGTAAGTATCATGCTGATGTGTCCTGTCATACTCCTATACAGTTCATGCAAACAGTAGTATTCAGGAAAGTCAGCATGCTTAGGACTCCCTCCCTCAGCAAGACAGTGGTGCTTCTGAGGTCCTGTGTCTTCTGTGCTTCAGGCCTAGGTACCCTCGTGAAAGTCAGTGAAGAGTGCCTTGTCCCCTAGCAGTACCTCTGTTACAGCAGCAGCAGAGCTGGTGCTATCATGGTGTGGCAGGTTCTGAATATGTTGTTTTGGTTTGGCTTCTCAAGAAAATCAGAGGGCAGAGCTTCTCCTGGTAAGTTCCTGGTGTGCTGAAGTGTGCAGTGGCATCAGGTGACAGAAATCCATGTCTGCTGAGGTGGTGGCAATTCTAGGTGGGGAATTCTAGCTCAGTCTTGGGGATTTACTTGCTGTGGGGGCAGTCCTGGTGAAAGTGTAGTGGCTTTATGCCTCTGAAGTTCCTGACATGTTAGATACCCAAATGCTTTATATGGTTTATATGCAGTTAGTTATTATCATTTTATGGTTCAGGAAACTGAGATGTAGTGTTCATGGTGTGACTGTGTCAGAATGAGCAAGAGAATCAGATTCTCCTAAATTTAACCCAAAGATAAATCTCCTCTCTTGGTGTCAGTGTATCAGGACTGTTGTATCAGATTTTTCTTCACTAGCTGTGTACCTGGGCATGGCTTCATGGTTTCATGCAGACTGATGTGTGTAATTTGTGAGCCCTGAAGAGTCACTGATTTTAGCAGTGTAAGCCCTCCCTGTTGTTTCTATGCTATGTTGTGCAGTGGTGGGAGCAGTAGTATCACTATGTGGAAAAGATTATTGTCACTGGCACCCTAATACTTGGGCAACAAACCAATTCTAAGCATATAGAAGTACAGTTTTGGGGACAGTAAACATACTGTCAAATACTGTTAAAATAAATGAATGCATGAAAGATATTAGTGATGATTGATCCTCTACTTAAATTATTAACGATCTTGTCATTTGCATTAAACACATGATAAATAACTTAATGTTTTCTTTTTAGTTGATGTCCATCAGCATATTAGGTGTTTCTGCTTGGCTGAGAGACTACCTGAATAATGTTCTCACTTTAACTGCAGAAACAAGGTAAAGCTTTAGTTAAGCTTCTGATCTGTGTGGGGTACTGATTGGGGTAGATGTTGCTCATTCTGTGTGGTGAGCTTCTTAATTAGGATTTGTAGAATTGGGAATCTTTCAGTTAAACTCGTCATTGTTGTATTGGAAGGTGCATTTTTTGCCTTAGTTTCAGGCACCAGTTGAAATTAGAAAAAGGGGAAATTAGAAAAGGGGGGTTTCAATCATGTGCCTTTGTCTTCTGACAGGGATCAATTTTTGGCCCATTGACAACATGTAACCAAATTATATTAATATTTAGTTTTGAATACTTTATTCAGTCCAGAGATTTAGAAATTCTATTAAGTTTATTACAGTAGTGCTTATGAGCCCTGGTGATAAAACAGGGTCTCACTGTTCTGCATGGTGTGCAAGTGCAGGGCAGGAAGATTACCTTTGCTCCAGAGAGGTTTTGGACAATGCAGTTTTTGGTAACCGAATGCAGCATTTGACAGTAAAACCGTGTTGAAGAGATTTTTGTGAAATGTGTAAGGTGCTGGAAAAAAACACATCTGCTAATCACCATTTTATTATTAATGTCTGTATATTTTTCTTTTGTATCATTTTTTTGTGCTTGTTTTGATTATTGCTCTGATTGGTTTTTAGGGTGGAGGAGGCTGTCATTTTGACTTACTTTCCTGTGGTCCACCCAGTTATGATTGCAGTCTGCTGTTTCCTCATCATAGTTGGAATGCTGGGATACTGTGGAACGGTGAAAAGAAATCTGTTGCTCCTTGTCTGGGTATGTTTCATAACTTCTGTTTTGTTTCAGGAGTGTTAGAAAGGTTTTAATCCACAGGCACTAGATAAATACTGATTATTTTTTATTACCCTGTTGAGTTACGGTATCGGTGAGGAATTGTAATTGCAAAGCACACAGTAGGAAATAATTTATTGCCTAGGCTGCATTATGCTGTGGCTGAAAGACAAGCAATGTCTCAATTGCAAAAATTCACTTCATTTAGTAGAGGAGTTGCTGAAGGGAAGAATAACTCAAACTTTTCAGTACTAATAATTATAGGGATATGAGTCTGAGTACTCTGAAATAAACCTGTATGCTACTGTTTTGACTCCTAGCTGAGCAACAGCTACCTAACCTAGACTTTGCATTACTCCACTGCTGACTGTATGTGTAAAGTAACAGCACTTGTAGCTGATAAAAGTTAATTCTGATGATGTTCAGAAGCTTTGTCTTCTCTTACATGGATGTGGAATTTTGCAGTTGCATTTGGTTGCAAACAAGTTTGAAAATAAATTCCAAATACCCATCTTTTTCCTTCATTTGGAGAGTATATAACTGAGCTGACAGCAGCTGAAATGTAATAGTCTCTCTTGCACAAGGCTTTGTTTAACTGTGATGTGGCTTTGACTGTCAAGGGAGCCAAACACCATGTTCTTCATCTGGAAGTCAGTGAATTTGGGGACAATTAAAGAAACAGCCAACCAAAAAAAATGCCACTGCAACAAAATCCCATCAAGTTCACACAAATTTTAAAGGTTTAGAGTTAAAATTTTTAGACTGTTAGCAGTACTGAAATCCAAGAGATCCAAGACTGCCATGTATCTGTATGCTTCTTAAAAGTGTAGCTGTAGCTCTTTGCAGAATTGGACTCTGTTTTTTAACATGAGGATAAGCAGGATTCCAAGCACTCTGTAAGTTGGAGAGAGTGGGAGCAGTGAGATTTGTCAGAGGTTTATCGGACTTGACTACTGTTATTGCAGTAGGAGGAATTAGACAGCTAGAATCCTTCAGCTCTTGGCAATATCCAGGGTCCCATACAAGTAGAGTTGGGCTCCGGCTGTTTTTTCACTGCACTGTGTGTTGGATCCTCAGAGTGTGCATTCAGTTGAATTTTTCTTGTCGATCTGTGCAGACTTAAGTATGTGACACCTAAACCTCACAGATTTTGCATAAAATGACTGTAAAACACCATAACAAATTTGCTGAGATTTATGGAACCTTTGCTTTTCCCTAACATAAATATTCTAACTGCAGAATAAACAGTTGCAAAACTGTACTGGGATCTTGTATTAATTTTCTTTTTTTTTTAATTTGAGACGGTTGAAGAAAGCTTTATTTGATATTTCTAGATGAATGTCTGCAACAAAAGTGTTCCTTAGTTTCAAGAGTGCAATGCTGTTTCTCCTTTTGGATATTTTGTTCAACCTGTATGCAGTGTGAAGATTGTTCTTTCAAAACTATATTGTTGGGGAAAACTCTCATTTAAATTTGAACATGCTAGAGTACCAGAATAGTCATGCATTTTTTATTTATAGATCTTAACATTGCAATGTTGAAATCAATGGAGACAGGTTCTAAGACAATTGCTTAATTATGGGCGTGTAAGAGTAATGGATTAATGTAATTTCATACCATACAATTATTTCTCTAGTAATCTTTCTTACATATCTTAAAAGGGCTTTGTACATATTTTTGTTTCATCAAAACAGTGAAAGTATTAAAATATGATAAACTTGCTAACCTCAGGGGTTCTTGTAAGGGTATAAGATTTTTCATAATGTGTTCTTTATTTTATAATGGTGGTAGTTTTTTATGCTAATTAAATTAAATAAAAGGTAAAAGTAACTATATGATATTGATCAGTGCCACATAGTATCTGGGGTAAGAGAAAGCTATTTTTGGTATAAGCTTTGAAAAAAACCCACCTTACTACTTCAAGAGATAATGAAGTTAAAACTAGTTTTGACCTTTAGTTTATTTATACTGCAAGTGAAAAGAAGAAATAATATATAGCCTTTAGTACCATCTGGAAATAAATAATTTGAAGTGTGTTTAGGCAGTCAAGTTAAACTAAATCAAAACAAGACATTTCTATCATTTTATGTTGCAATATTTCATTTTCAGGAGCTTGAGATTTGCTCTTGCTAAAAAATCTGATAAAAAAAAACTAAACTATATCTTCCTAAATATGTCATTGTCTTTGATTGATTGTTAAATGAATGCAGTTATGTTATACCATACAGAAGTGTGCCGACATAAGTCAATGCTTCATTCATCAGACTAATCAGAAAACTGATGGATCAACAAAATGAGCATTTGTTCAACCAGATGAACTAAAAGAAAAGAACCTTCGTGTAAAACATTAACAACCTCTTCAATCATGCTTTTAGTCTTCTTTTTGAAGTACATGAAAGCCATAATGATGGCATGCACAGATAATTGGATACAAGTCTTGACGTTCCTGGCAGCATGCTCATTGCAAGTGCTGATGTTAATTCAAATGGATTTTTGGAAAATGGATTAAGTGCAAAGACAATAAAATAAATATAGTGTTCGGTTTTAATACATTTGAATACATAATCATTTTCATTTTGTTCTTGAAGTTTTGTCTTGGAGTTAAATGCTTGAAACATTTCTATCTTCACATGGGGGCATAAGTATAGATCAAACTCATGTTTGCTCAGCTTAATAGTAGGAAAATGTAAAACCTCAGTCTTCTGAGGTGCATGTCTGGACTTTTTGTAGAACCAGCATTTAAAAGCTGTGATCATGTAATTTCAATTACTTCAGAAACATTTCCTGAAGGGTAGTTGGTCTGAAGAGTCCATGTGTACCTTGAGTTTCTATATTTTTTGTGTGTGATTGACCAACATTCTCATGTAGAAGTAGCTGTGATGCCAGCCTAAAGGAGAAGATATGAGCTCTTCAAAGTCGCTGACTTGGATGCATGAAAAGTGCAAGGATGGGAGAGTCCCAGTTTTATGGTGGTTGGTACAGTCCTTTCAACAAGATTGCTTCTGGATTTGAAAAAAAAAAAAAAAAGCTTTATTCTTCTGAGGCTCTGTTTTGGATTGTTTTCAAAGTTTGTTGTGCACATTGCCTAACTGAAAATACCCAAACCCTAACAAAGTGCATATATTCTTTAAGAGTAGTAACCTAAGGATGTGGGTGGGTTGTTATGGTTTTGTTTGTTTGTTATTTTTAAATTTTGTTTGGGTTTTTGTTTGGTTTTGTTTGTTGTTGGGGGATGTTTATTTGTTTGGTTTTGTTGTTGTTGTTTGGGGTTTTTTTGAGTTCTTGTTTTATTAAAATGACAAGAGTAAGCTCAAGGTTCTTGGTAAGAAGAGCTTAATGGAAATCCTACTAGAAAATAATTCCTGGCTGAAATTTTCCTTGCAAGTTCTTGTATTTTTAACCATGACTTTTCTGTAACTGCAGCATTCAAACAGCACAGGATTCAAATTTGTGTATGTTTTCACAAAGGAGAAAACTATTAGAAATATTTGATGGTGAACAGGGCAAATCCTGTTACTGATTCTTATCACACAGTTGACAGAGTAATAAATATTTCTCAGAGCTAAACATTGTTAGACCCTGTTGGTGTGTTGTTAAACAGCTTATTAATTCAGTTCTGGTGGAACCTGGTTATAAATTGGGCCCTGGTAGACTAAGCTGTGTATTGAGTTGAAACACAACCAGACAAACAGTCATTAAACTTGTGGTTTCTGTGAAGTCTATCTAAAGAATGCTGAGATACTGTTGACTGTATCACCTCTTGTGGCAAATTCTTCTATACACATACACTCATTTCAGTCTATGTGGATGCAGAGGTGACAAGGTTGATTAAATTTGGACATCTGCTATTTTGCAAGATACCAATAATTGGTAGTGTTTTCTTCCTAGAAGGCATTCTTACTCTCTGTGAAATGTTAGCTGCTCTGCAGTACCATAGCATCAGCTATTCTGTAGTACTTATGACTACAATTGGCAGGAATTAATATGAGACTTTAGTGATAACAAATTCTGTTTTTTTCCCTTTTTGTGGCAGCATCTGTTTCTGCAATAATACATAGTACAGGTTATTTGCTCTGTAGTAAGAGAGGATATTCATTCCTAGCCATGTGGACTCTTAGCACAGTTACAGCTGCTCCAATACCTTGTACTAACATTTGGCACTGGAGTTGTTATTTACCAACCAGAGGTATTTCTAAACTATTTAGATACCAAGTATTGAAGGGAAGAAACAACTAACAAACATACTTGGTGTAAACCCATGCAGTTTAGTATTAAGCTGGACAGACTGAGTTTGTATTTTGTGGCTTTTATCAACAGCCCATTTACAAATGTGATATGAGTAGGAGGAAGACAGAGATTCACAAGACAGGTTGGCCTGTCTTGTTTGAAAGACTGATTTAAATGTGTTTAAATGGTTCAGGTTTGATGAGAAGCCAGTACTCTGCTAAACCTCAGTTTTAGGTAGCCTATCTAAGGGGATGGACATTATGCTTGCATTCTGGAGTGCTGCTTGTTTAATGTTGCGCTGGTAAGAGAAAATACACTAAAAGTTCAGCAGTTTTTATTATATCCCAGTATGTGAGCAACTTTCTCCAAAAAAAAGCTTTTTTTTTTCTTTCTATATTTCTGACTTTGAATTCAAAGGTAAGCTGCTGGAGATGATGTCTGTACACTAATTACTATACATCTTTTTTACCTTGAAATAGAGAGCAAGTATTTTTCCTATTTAGATCAGGATTTTTAAGGTTCAGACAAGTTTTTTGATTTTGAGATGGATTTTGGTGGTGCCACAGTGTCACCACAGAGCTAAGCCAGGCTTTGCAGGAAAGTGTGCACTCTGTAGGGCTCCCATCTCTGTGGGGCGGAGTACATTGTCCTGGGGTTCAATGCCAATCTCTGTCTTCCTCTGTAAGCATGGTGTATTTTGTTGACCTTGTCTTCCCTGACATAAATATATCCTTGCTATGTGTGTCCTTAAAAGACTT